ACTACTACTACTATTTTTTTAACGTGGCGTCCAGCCTCCCCCAATAGCCACACCTTCGCCTCCATTTTATTACCTTAAAATTAAATATCCTAATACATGAGTAGCTATCCTAGCTGTGTTGAGTTAGTTGAGCCGCAGATCTATGCAACTATTGTCGGCTTTGGGGCCGATGCTCTCGTTCCCCTGAGGCAGAGCAAAGCCGACCTAAGGAGAGAGAAGGACAGTCGACATCTCAAACAGGCTGTATAATATAACTTCTGAGCTGCTGCTTCTGTTCGGAGATCACCTCCGCGAGTCTGGTGTAGAAGCATCTTGCTCTTGGTCCCATCCCACCAGAGGTTGTGAACACTAGAGGAGTGAAGCTGCCTTGATCAACGTTCTGAATTCTCTCCCCGTATGCCCTTATCTTGTCGTTCTCGTTCCTCCTATGTGCAGCATCGAGAGCTAAGTTACGGTGACATGCGGCCATGGTATAAAAAATCCTGATGTCGAAGAAGACTCGCTGTCCCCGCGTCCAGAATCCTCGAGCACTGACGTCAACACGGGCTTCGTTGGATGTGTTTGAAGTCCTATGTTGGAAATTCTCACCGTTCAATGGAAGGAGGGTCGGTTCTACCCTGACATCACGGCAGATTTCCTTCAGTATATTTGCTGTTAGATCCCTTACTTCGTCATGTCTCATGCACACGAAGCACCCTTTCTTGCACACCATGGCATGATCGCCGTCATAGGAAGAGCCACACACGCATTGGGAGGGCAAACCTTCTACTGGCCTACTGTACCTTAGAGCAATGGCATCTGTGAACTACTACTACTACTACTACTTCTGAATTCCGCCTCTCTCTCTCTCTCTCTCTCTCTCTCTCTCTCTCTCTCTCTCTCTCTCTCTCTCTCTCTCTCTCTCTCTCTCTCTCTCTCTCTTTTCCATCGTTGTTTTCTTACTTCCTCTAATTTCTCTCCCTTAATCTCTCTACTCTCTCACCTCTCCCCACTCTCACTCTCTCACCTCTCCCCACGCTCACCCTCTCACCTCTCCCCACTCTCACCTCTCCCTACTCTCACCCTCTCACCTCTCCCCACTCTCACCTCTCCCTACTTTCACCCTCTCACCTCTCCCCACTCTCACCTCTCCCTACTCTCACCATCACAACACTCATTATAACCCGTCACACTCTTCGCCTCTCTTAGTTAACAAAGTATAAAGAAAGTATAAATAATTTGGCTAAAAGTACTGTATGTACCTGTTTTTGAGAGAAATGTGAAGAAGGTATTTTGAATTTACTAAAAGTCTAATAAAATAGTATATATATTTTTCAAGTAATATGCAATCTATTGTAGTTGTAATCTCACAAAATTTATTAAAAAGTATAAATATTTTGACTATGCAATCAAAGAATTGGTGGATAAGATTTTATCAAAAAATACAAAGCAAAAACCGAACGTGTTTTTTTTTCCATACGGGTTTACAGTAAGTATTAAAACACCGAATATTTTCCCTCAAACTCAACAAAACACACATGTATTTTTTCAAAGGAATATATATTTTTGCCTAGGTAGATATATTCTTTTTTATTTGCAGAGCTATATTCGTTTTTTGGCCAAAGTAAATACATTATTGCTAGAGTATATACCTGTAAATTTTTCCCAAAGTATATATGTAGATTTTGCCAAAGTATATATACATTTTTACCAAAGTATATATATTTGGGTGATTATATATATATACCCAAACTTTTCCAGACCATGTGTTTAAAAAAAGCAAAACTATTATAAATTTGAAAAAAAAGTCTATATATTTTTGCCAAGGTGGGGAAAGTTCACGGCCTCATAATAACGATGTTTATTGCGTGTGTGTGTGTGTGTTTTCGCCTATACTAACATAAGAACATCTACATTAATAATATTTTAAGAGAAACAAACAAACAAACAGACAGACAGACAGACAGACAGACAGAAAGACAGATAGATAAATAGATAGATAGATAAAGAGAAAAAAACAGACACACACACACACACACACACACACACACACAATAAAACTCCACAGCAGTAATCACACCAACACACGTAAAAAATATATATACTTTTTGTCGCTGGAGCCAAATTACCTTAAGCTCAGGTGATTTATACCCCGACTACAGGTAAAGCGGGGGCAAATACACAACATAAATAATGAATTTTTTTGTTAGTTTTTGTACAAGATAAAACTAAATAATTTTTATGTTTGCTAAATGAACAAAAAATATAAACGTTGTGTGTATTTTTTTTTTGTTCAAGATAAAATATTCAAGGATAGTTTTGTTTTTTGGTTTTTTGTGAATGTAAACAAATACAGACATTGAATAGATATTGTTTTTGTAAATAGTTAACAAAAACAGCTGTGTGGATAATTATTTTGGTTAATGAAATGGTTGAACAGTTGGTTAATTTGGTTATTTAATGGTTGAACAGTTGGTTAATTTGGTTAATGAAATGGTTGAACAGTTGGTTAATTTGGTTATTTAATGGTTGAACAGTTGGTTAATTTGGTTATTTAATGGTTGAACAGTTGGTTAATTTGGTTATTTAATGGTTGAACAGTTGGTTAGTTTGGTTATTTAATGGTTGAACAGTTGGTTAGTTTGGTTATTTAATGGTTGAACAGTTGGTTAGTTTGGTTATTTAATGGTTAGAACAGTTGGTTAGTTTGGTTATTTAATGGCTAGCAGTTGTAGTTTGGTTATTTAATGGTTGAAACAGTTGGTTAGTTTGCTTATTTAATGGTTGAGGATAACGCTATGATATCGATGCTCTAATGACTTGGGTTCAATCATTATACTCAAAGCTTCAATCGTCATACTCAAAGCTTCAATCATCATACTCAGAGCTTCAATCATCATACTCAGAACTTCAATGATCATACTCACAATACCTATCACCACATTGGTAAGACATTGTAAATTGGATCACACATCACGCCTCGGGTCTACAATGTAATAATGCCAACGGTGGGAAATGCACCTTTGTACCTGTATAAATTAGGAGTCACGAGAAATGGGAAAAAATGTCACCTTTGGATATTAAACCTTTGCTGCGAGAGATGATGTATGTATATGTACATGTATGTATGTATGTATGTATGTATGTATGTATGTGTGTATGTATGTATGTATGTATGTTGCGGTGTCGTAAACGCACATCACGTGACTCAACACACTACTGTACAGTTTTGTGTCGTGTGTAGTAACTTAACACCAGGCTTAACCCACTTATTTAAGTAGTTTTTTATTACTGGTGCCACTTAACGCTGAGTGGGTTGACCTAGTGTGTGTGTGTGTGTGTGTGTTTTTTTTTTTTTGGTGTGTTTTTTTACGGGGATTAGCCCACCCGGGCACAAGTCACTGACCCACATTGGGGCCTGGGGGGCGAAAATGTAATAATAATAATAATAATAATAATAATAATAATAATAATGTTAATAATAATTATAATAATAATAAATAATAGTCATAATAATTCATAATAAATAAAATGTATGATAAAACAAACAAAAATAAAATAATAAAATAATGATGATAATAATACAGTAACTGTAATAATAATAATAATAATAATAATAAAGAACTATAAATACAAAAAAAAATAAAAAGTGAGAAACCATATATGTATGTTGTGTTGTCAATGGTAAGAGAAACAATTAAGACCTGCAGTTGTGTGTAAATGAGGCAGAAAGTCAGATCACCAACCTGGGACTTGGTCATATGGCAGCTGGGTCCACCATTAGACAACACATTATGCTTCCAATATCTTCCCAGGCGGTAGTACCTCCCTGTTTGGTAGCTGCCTACTACCTACTACCGAGTGTGTGTGTGTGTGTGTGTGTGTGTAATAATTGTCTTCTGCTAGCGGAAAATTAATACACACACACACACACACACAGTCATGAAAGAGCCACACGCTTTTGCACAACACAACTCAACCTTTATATCAACACAACGGAGCACAACACAACACAACACAACACAGTCCTAGGTTAACACAACACAACGCAACACAACGCAACACAACGCAACGCAACACAAGGCAACACAACACAACACAGTCCTAGGTTAACACAACACAACGCAACACAAGGCAACGCAACACAAGGCAACACAACACAGCCCCTGGGAGAAGGCTTCATCTTCTACCACTACAGTTTATGATTAACCTTTAACAATGTTACCTGGACCCCACCTGAGTCTTACCTGTTGGAGGGAGGGAGGGAGGAGGGTACCTGGGCGCCTATCTGAGACTTGTCTGTTGGAAGAAGGGAGGGAGGGAGGGAGGGAGGGAGGGATGGAGGGCACTTAGTTGCCTACCTGAGATTTTGTTTGTGTTGGAGGGGTGGGAGGAGGGAGAGAAGGGAGGAGGATAGGGAGAGAGGGTATGATGATGGGGGCGAGAGAGGGGGGGGGGAAGATGTGAGTTAGGTAGGGGGGAGAGAGAGAGAGAGAGAGAGAGAGAGCAAAAATGAAAACCATTCTCTATATAACTTCGAAAACAACAAATAAATAAACAAATTAAGCAAAAAATAACAAATTCATTGATAAATAAACAAACACAGCAACAAGTAAACCACATAAATAGAGAAAAAACGAAAACAAATGAAACAAAAAAAAATTGGCAAGATGAAAAAGAACAAAATTTTACATCGTCTCAAACTCACTTCATTAACAGGTAACACAGGTAGGTAATTAAGGTAAAACAGGTAGGTAATTAAGGTAACACAGGTAGGTAATTAAGGTGACACAGGTAGGTAATTAAGGTAACACAGGTAGGTAATTAAGGTAACACAGATAGGTAATTAAGGTAACACAGGTAGGTAATTAAGGTAACACAGGTAGGTAATTAAGGTGACACAGGTAGGTAAAAAAACCAGTACATTATTAAGTACGGTAAAGACGTCTTATTTACCTCAATATAAGACAAATAAAGGAATGTTAAGGTATGTTATTTACCTTAATGAGAGGTGTAACCAGGTGTATTTTATTTTCCAGTTGGTTTCGACCATTTCCAAGTGCTTCGAGCGATCGGGAAAGGCAGTTTTGGGAAGGTATGTTGACGTGTTGTTGTTGTTGTAGTTGTAGTTGTTGTAGTTGTTGTAGTTGTTGTTGTTGTTTTATCTGAGGCCACATACTCTTTCTTCTCCCACTTATTCTCCCTTACTATATCTCTCACCTTATCTCCTTGTCTCTCACCTACTCCTCCCTTTGCCTCTCACTTCATTCTCTGTCTCTCACTTTCTCTCTCTCTCTCTCTCCCCTCTCAGTCACCAGTTCCCCCTACCTCTCCCACACTCACATTCTGGCTCTCCTACAGGTATGTATCGTGCAGAAGAGGGACAGCAAGCAGATGTTCGCTATGAAGTACATGAACAAGACGCAGTGTGAAGCTCGGGACGCCCTCAGCAATGTTTTCAGGGAGATAGAGATATTGGCTTCTCTTAACCATCCCTTCCTCGTTAACTTGTGGTTCAGTTTCCAAGGTGAGGGGTGGGGTAGTTAGCTGGTGAGTGAGTGAGTTTGTTAGGTAGTTAGAAAAAATCCACATTCACTTGTTCAGATCCTCAACTTACACGTGGTAATATATATATACACTATATATTGTCTTATTATTGTTATTAATACTATATAAACATTGTTACTCCTATGTTATATTACCATTTTATATCATTGTGTTGTTGTAAGTGTTATTATTGTGTTATTACTGTTATTCTATTGTTATTGATTATATAACGTATTTTGTAGTTTGTTATTATGTATTACTGCGCCACAACTAAGGTGTTTCAGCGCACATATTCTTATTTATAATGTATAACTGCACTTATACTCAGGACTTTAAAGGCGTTTTCTCCTAAATGTTAAAAGAAAAAAAATTGTATGAGTTCTCCATGTTTTCGTGTGCTGGGGTACTACTGAACCGGAGTTGTGATGTGTTGAGCGGCTGTACGATCCCGAGGGAGGGAGGGAAGTGAGAGGGAGGGAGAGAGGGAAGTGAGAGGGAGGGAGAGAGGATAGGGGGTTAAGGAGAAAGAGAAAGAGGATAGGATGGAAAGAGGAAAGGAGGAGAGGGATGATGAGAGAGAGATGTGGTTGATGGGTGAAAGGATGGAGGATGGGAGGGAGAGAGGGAGGGTGGATGAGAGGGAGGGAGGGAGGCTGAGTGGGAGGTACACATTGAGATGAGAAGAAGAAGAAGGAGAAGAAGAAGAAGAAGAAGAAGAAGAAGAAGAAGTCACATAAGGTCGAGTTTGAGGTTTAAATATTGTGATTTTGGAAAAGTTAAAACAAAAAAAAGTTTGGCGAGAGATACTTTCCCTTGGTATAGAAAGTTTTTAGCGAAAGTTTGTATTAGAGGCTAGTAGTGTAAGGCATTCTGAAACAAGGAGAGTTCTTTTCTCATTATCAGGTGTTTTAATTAATATTACTTGCCCCCCCCCCACACACTTTCACTACCCAAACTTTCTCCTTCACTTTCAGACTCGGAGAACATGATCGTGATAGTGAGAGAAAATGCAAGAAAACAAACATATCCTAATGTCATTTTCCCATTTCCAGGTGTCATAATTACCATCACCTGACATCTCTCCCCCCCCACACACACACTTTCACTACCCTAACTTTCTCCTTCACTTTCAGACTCGGAAGACATGTTCATGGTGGTTGACCTCCTTTTGGGGGGTGACCTGAGGTATCACGTCCAACAGGGTGTACAGTTCACTGATCAGGTCGTGAGACTGTACATACTGGAGGTAGCTTCAGCCGTGTCTTACCTCCACGCTAGGAACATTATACACAGGTGAGAGAGAGACAGAGAGAGAGAGAGAGACAGAGAGAGAGAGAGAGAGAGAGAGAGAGAGAGAGAGAGATTGTACACACACACAAACACACACACACACACACACACATCAACATCACCTACCTACCAACCAACGTGAGTAATTAAGGTAACTCATTAACCTCTGACTCAGGTAAGCTGATTGTATCTCTGACAGGTGTGATTGGATTGGAAGCTTCGATATTATTAATCTTTGTTCATTAAATTGTTAAATATTTCTGAATAATTGTGATAAAAAGTTTCTATGTAATTTTTTTTTATATGTTTTTGAGGAATTTGTGAAAAGTTTGTCAATGAAAGAAAAAATAATTATGGTTAGGTTAGGTTAGGTTAGGTTAGGTTAGGTTAGGTTAGGTTAGGTTAGGTTAGGTTAGGTTAGGTTATTTTAACATTAGGTCAGGTTAAGCCAATTCAATTTCTCTCTCAACTTCAATACAATTATTATCCAACTTGTTAACCAATTATCCGGACTTATACAGTTAAAAAAAACAGGTAATTAGTCCAGTTAATCACCCTGCTAATGATGGTAATTAAGTACTCGCTCTCTAAATACTTTCCATTTGAGGTAATTAGATATCTTAATGAGTTCTAATTTATTATACCCATCAATCAGTTGAATGTGTGAGCCTATAGATAGATAGACAGATAGATAGATAGATAGATAGATAGATAGATACATAGATAGATAGATAGATAGATAGATAGATAGATAGATAGATACAGTAGATAGATAGATAGATAGATCGATAGATAGATAGATAGATCTCCCTACAGGTATATTGTTGTAGGTTAATTAGTGTTTGGCTCACACACACACGGCTTTACTTACCTGTGTGTGTGTGTGTGTGTGTGTGTGTGTGTGTGTGTGTGTGTGTGTGTGTGTGCCCTGTTGTTGTTGTTGTTGTTGTGTTTGTCATCTCCAGTATGTCATAATTATTATCATCATCATCATCATCATCATCATCATCATCATCATCATCATCATCATCATCATCATGTAACTTTCACTGACTTATTCACTACCTGACAGAGACATCAAGCCCGACAACCTGCTCCTGGACGAGGAAGGTGAGTCTGTCTATCTGTCTGTCTGTTCGTCTGTCTGTCTGTCTGTCGGTCTGTCTGTCTGTCTGTCTGTCTGTCTGTCTGTCTGTCTGTGTAACGTAACCTTACTAACTTACCCTAACCTAACAAAACCTAATCTAACCTAACTTAACCTAACCCAACCTAACCCAAACCTAACCTAACAACATCGTAACCTTGACCCACTTCGTTAAAAATCGTAAAAACAAGAAAAAAATTAACGAAAACAAACGGATGAAACATAACATTCCGGTTAAATTATATTATTAACACAAACACCAAGAGAAAAATTACAGGAAATAGAATAAAGTTATATATTATGAACAAAAAATAATAATTACTTTTTTATTTTACCTGCGAACGATCCCCCAAAAAATAAGACTAATTAAGTTTTGAAAGTTGTCTGTTGAAAGTTTTAATTTGACATGCCGTTCCGTTTGGAGAAAGTTTTAGCTTGATATACTTTCTTTTTTTGGGGGGGTGAAAGTTTTAGTTTGATGTATGTATGTATTTCCTTTTATAGAATATTTCAGGTTGATATACTTTCACTCTTAGAAAGTTTCAGGTCGATATACTTTCATTGGCAGAAAGTAAAGACTGACCAGACGCGAGTGTTGGATATTGTGTATGTATGTATGTATGTATGTATGTATGTATGTATGTATGTATGTATGTGTATAAGGTCAACACACCTGGATGAAGTTAATTGTATATTTATCATAAGTAAATATAACACCTGGCAGGTAAGGCTCACTCTGCCTACCTGAGGGAAGAGGAGGAGAGAGTCAACATAAGTCTCTCACATCTTTCTCTCCCTCTCTCATTTATTCTCAAGGGCTTCTCTTATTTTCTCTCCCTCTTTTTACCTCTCCTATTCCCTCTCGTTCCTCTACCTCTTTGCTTTATTCTTCCCTCTACTTCCATCCCCACCCCGTCTCTCTCTCTCTCTCTCTCTCACCCTCTCCCTCCCACTCTCCCTCCCACTCTCCCTCTCACAACATAATCTCTCACTCTCAGGGGCTTCTACTTTCTCTCCCATTTTCCGAGGATTAATTTCCTCTCCTCTCCCTCTTTTATGCATTTTGGCCAAGACTAATTACGAGAGAGAGAGAGAGAGAGAGAGAGAGAGAGAGAGAGAGAGAGAGAGATTTAGTAGTTTTTCAGTCACTTGCAGAATGAGTGTTAAGAGTTGTGTGTGTTGTGTTGTGTTGTGTTGTGTTGTGTTGTGTTGTGTTGTGTGTTAAGAAGAAACATGGGCGGAAATGTTGTGTTGGTAGAGAGATGGAAATATTTTGTCTCTCTATTATGGTTATTTAACAAAGGTTCCTTCAGCCGTTTCTCTCACAATATAATGAGAATCAATATCAGCTCCTCGCCAACCATCGTTAGACCATCGTCAGTCTCTCGTCTCCTGTCACCTTGTCTACACCAACTTTCTCTCCTAAAATTTCTCTTCTGTTTACATTGTTTACACCAAATTTCTCATCTGTTTACATTTTTTACACCAACTTTCTCTTCTGTTTACATTGTCTACACCAACTTTCTCTCGTTTAAATTGTTTACATCAAATTTTTTCTCCTGTTTACATTGTTTACACCCTCCTCTCCGTGTGTTGACCACCAGTAGGTGAGTTTTGGGCTGTCATTACTCCTCTATTACAATATATATGCTAATGATTCAATCACTGTGGTGTTATATTTACTTAGTGCAAAGCCGGGGAGGTGGAGAGTGGTGGGGAGGGAAAGGGAAGTGGAAGGAGGGGAGATGGAAGGGGAGGGGGGAGGAGGGAGAGGGATAGACGGAGGAAAGGGAAAGGTAGGGGAGGTGAAGTGTAAAGGAGAGGGCTAAGAGGAAGAGAAGGGTAGGGGGGTGAGGTATAGAAGGGTCGGAGGGAGAAAGGAGAGAAGGGAAGGAGGAGGTATGCAGCAGAGAGGTCAGAGGCCTACAAGTGGTTTTAAAGGGTTTTGAGTGAGTTTTAAAGGTGGTGCCACATGGTGCCACAGTACCAGGGTGCCACAGTACAAGGGGTGACACAGTAATATGACACAGAGCCAGGGTACCACGGTACTATAGCGACACAGTACCAGGGTGCCACAGTACAAGGGTGACAGTAATAGGGGTACACAGAGCCAGGGTACCACGGTACTATGACACAGTACCAGGGTGTCACAGCACAAGGTGCCACAGTACTAGGCTGCCACAGTAAAAGGTGACACAGTAATAGGGTGCCACAGAGCCAGGGTGCCACGGTACTATAGTGACGCAGTACCAGGGTGCCACAGCCAAGGGCACACAGTAATAGGGTGCCACAGGCCAGGGTACCACGGTACTATAGTGACACAGTACCAGGGTGCCACAGCAAGGGTACCACAGTACAAGGGTGCCACAGTACAAGGGTGACACAGTAATAGGGTGCCACAGAGCCAGGGTACCACGGTACTATAGTGACACAGTACCAGGGTGCCACAGTACAAGGTGCCAGTGCCAAGGTGCCGCAAGTTCACACAAAGCTACAACTGCCAATCTCTGGTCTCCTTGTCCCTGCCTGAGTCTCTCCTAGGGGGTGAGTCTCTCCTGAGGGTAGAAGGGTTAGGAAGGGGAGGGAGGTGAGGGAGAGTAGATATTGTATATATGTCATTAGCCAACACCTCTCTCCCCCTCCTCCTCCCTCCCTCCTCCTCCTCCTCCTCCTCCTCCCTCCCTACCCTCCTCTACACCTCATCCCCTCCCCTACACCTCCATACACCTATCCCCATCCAAATACACTCATCAGTCTATCCCTTCCTATTTCCTCTATTTGCATACCTCTCCCACATCCACCACTTTCCTATCCTCTCTCACCCTTTTACTCCCCTATCAATCCCTAACCTTCAGCAATCCCTAACCTTCTAATCAACCCTAATCCCTTCTACCAATCCCTAACCTTCTATCAACTCCCTAATCCCTTCTATCAATCCCTAATCCCTTCTACCAATCCCTAATCCCTCTACCAATCCCTAACCTTCTACCAATCCCTAACCTTCCATCAATCCCTAATCCCTCTACCAATTCCTAATCCCTTCTACCAATCCCTAATCCCTATCAATCCCTAATCCCTTCTACCAATCCCTAATCCCTTCTACCAATCCCTCAACCCTTCTACCAATCCCGTTATTTTTAAAGTTTGGTAGAGTGAGGCTTGTGGTGTTTGGTCTCTCCAGATCAAGCACCCTGAGGCTCTCTTGCCAGTATTCTGAACGCTTCACTTTGTCGATTTTATTTGTTTTTCTGTTGTTTGTTTGTTTGTTGTTGGTTGAGAGTTGTTTATGTTTGATTGTAGGTCATTTTGTGTTTGTTAGTGTGTGTATTTTTTTTAGGAGGAAATGGTTATTATTATTATTATTATTATTATTTTTATTATTATTATTATTATTATTATTATTATTATTATTATTATTATTATTATTATTATTATTATAGGTCGTTAATGTCAGCTGCAGGCGTTGGCAGCCTGACCTGTTTATGCTTGCTCCTGGCACCATTTGGCACCACTTGGCACTCTCTGCCCTTAACTGGCACTCCTGGCACCCTTAACTGCACCCCTGGCACCCTTAACTGGCACTCCTTGGCACCCTTAACTGCACCCTGGCACCCTTAACTGGCACTCCCTGACACCTTAACTGACACCCCTGGCACCTTAACTGGCACCCCTGGCACCCTTAACTGGCACCCTTAACTGGCACTCCTGACACCTTAACTGACTCCCTGGCACCCCACGGCACCCATTAGCAACCCCACTAGCTTCCCCACCCATCCCAGCGGACAGGGGAGGGGGGGTTGAGGAGGGGAAATAGAGGGAGGGGGGATAAATGGGGAGGAAGGAGGGCAGAGGAGTAAAGGGAAGGGGAAGAGAGAGAGGGAGAGAAGAAATAGAGAGAGTTAGAGGCGTGATAGGGCGAGAGAAGGGAGAATGGAGGAGGAGAGGGGGCGGACAGACGTTGATTTCTCCATTCACAATGAAATAGAGTGGAACAGGTGGTGGGGGGAGGGAGGAGAGGGGAGGGTAAGGAGAGAAAAGGAGGGAGGAGAGGGAGAGTAGAGAGAAGGGTAAAGAGAGGAGAGGAGAGGGAGAGGGAGGAGAGAGAGGTGGTACACAATCTGACAATAGAATTCAAGGAATCGTCTACCTGACCTAATTTAATCTAACAATATGTATGTATGTATGTATGTATGTATGTATGTATGTATGTATGTATGTATGTATGTCTGTATGTATGTATGTATGTATGTTGTATGTATGTATGTATGTATGTATGTAACAGCCCCTCTCCACAAGGTCACGTTCATCTCACAGACTTCAACATCGCCACGGTTCTCCGGCCTGGACAGGTGGCCACCTCTATGTCTGGCACTAAGCCTTATATGGGTGAGTTGACTGGCCCTCTGTAGCCCTTATTGGCCCTCTGTAGCCTTTATTGGCCCTTTGTAGCCTTTACTGGCCCTCTGTAGCCCTTATTGGCCCTCTGTAGCCCTTATTGGCCCTTTGTAACCCTTATTGGAGCTTTGTAGCCTTTACTGACCCTCTGTAGCTCTTACTGGCCCTTTGTACCCGTCACTGGCCCTCTGTAGCCTTTACTGACCCTCTGTAGCCCTTACTGGCCCTCTGTAGCCTTTACTGGCCCTCTGTAACCCTTACTGGCCCCCCCATAGCCCTTTCTAGCCAACCACAGTGTTTACCAGCCCTTCTTGAGCCCTCATTAGCCCTCAACACGAAACGATACTTACTTTCTATTCAGGGCGAAAAAATCGGGACATTTTCTCTGTCAAAATTACCGCCCCATTTGCTTTTCCCTTTACTCCAACTTTCACCATTACTTTCTCCCCAATATCTGCCACGTCTGCACAACACTTTCACTGGAGAAAATATATCCTCTGGTCACCTCCTCTTCTCTTGATCTTCCGGTCGGTGTCTCCTCCTCCTCCTCCTCCTCCTCCTCCTCCTCCTCCTCCTCCTCCTTCCTCCTCCTCCTCCTCCTCCTTTTCCTTTGTCGGTTTAGTTCGACTTTATTTACATCTTTCGCTTTCCTCTTGTATTAACCTTTGGACAACACAACAACAACAACAACAACAAACAACAAACAGCAACAACAACAACAAAAAAAACAACAACAACACCAACAACAACAACAACAACAACAACAACAATAATAAATGAAGAAGAAGAAGAAGAAGAAGAAGAAGAAGAAGAAGAAAAGAAGAAAAAGTCACATTAATCCCTATAATTATTATATATATTGGTACAAGGTCCACTTTAATTATCTCTCACTATCTCACTATCTCACTATCTCTCACCCCCGCCTTTCTCCTGTTCCAATCACCCTCCAATCACCCTCCAATCATCCTCTGACGTCACTGATTCGTACCTCATCAACCAATCCTATGAGGTGTCGTCACTAGTCCATCGATGACGTCACAGGAGGCGAGATGCTGTCATGAATCGGCCTCTGATTGGTGGGATGAGGCGATGACGTCGTTGGAGGGGAGATAACATCATTTGGCTGAGATTTGTAAACAACATCTGTATTTCTCTCAGCTTCTCTTTCTCTCTCTCTCCTATCTCACTGTATCTCACTGTATCTCTCCTGTACAGCCCCGAAGTGTTCGAATGTGTGGCGGACACATGTGACGGCTATAGCTATGAGGTAGATTGGTGGTCAGGTGACGGCGTATGAGGTGAGACGAGGAAAGAGGCCCTATGACATACACTCCAACACCTCCCTTCATGAGATACGGATGATGTTCCTACAGGTGCCCTCCTTCCCCACCTCCTGTCATCCTGGCCTCGCTCACATCATCTCCAAGGTGAGTACAGGGTGTTTTGAGGGTGGGTAGAGGGTGTTTTGAGGGTGGGTAGAGGGTGTTTTGAGGGTGGGTAGAGGGTGTTTTGAGGTGAGTACAGGGTGTTTTGAGGGTGAGTACAGGGTGTTGTGAGGGTGAGAGTGTTTTGAGGGTGGGTAGAGGGTGTTTTGAGGGTGGGTAGAGGGTGTTTTGAGGGTGAGTCTAGGGTGTTTCAGGGTAAATCTCTTTGTGTTTTAGGGTAAATATTAGGATTTAGGGTGACTCTAGGGTGTTCTAGGGTGAATGTTAGGTAATAAAAACTGTAAAATAAGTGAAACTGCCTCTCTAGGGTTAGTGGGGGCACACAGTGAGGCAGGGTGAGGCAGTGTGAGGCAGGGTGAGGCAGGGTGAGGCAGGGTGAGGTAGTGTGAGGCAGGATGAGGCAGTGTGGGGAGCAGGGGTGAGGCAGTGTGAGGGCAGGGTGAGGCAGTGCTGAGGCAGGATGGGGCAGGGTGAGGCAGGGTGAGGTAGTGTGAGGCAGGGTGAGGTAGTGTGAGGCAGGGTGGGGGCAGGGTGAGGCAGTGTGAGGGCAGTGTGAGGCAGGTGAGGGCAGGGGTGAGGCAGGGTGAGGTAGGATGGAGGCAGGGTGGGGCAGGATGATGCAAGGGTGGGGGCAGGGGTGAGGCAGTGTGAGGCAGTGTGAGGCAAGGGTGAGGCAGTGTGAGGCAGGGTGAAAGGGCAGAGTGAGGCAGGGTGAAGGGCAGGGTGAGGCAGGGTGAGGTAGTGTGAGGCAGGATGAGGCAGTGTGAGGCAGGGTGTGAGGCAGTGTGAGGGGGCAGGATGAGGCAGGGTGAGGCAGGGTGAGGGGAGTAGTGTGAGGGAGCAGGGTGGGGAGCAGGGTGAGGGCAGGGGTGAGGGTAGTGTGAGGCAGGATGGGCAGTGTGAGGCAGGGTGGGGCAGTGTGAGGGCAGGGCAGGGTGGGGCAGGGGTGAGGGTAGTGTGAGGCAGGATGAGGCAGTGTCAGGCACTCAAGGAAATACACTTAATACCACATCAAGTGATAACGTCCTCTCTCTCTCTCTCTCTCTCTCTCTCTCTCTCTCTCTCTCTGCCTCTCTCTCTCTCTCTCTCCTCTCTCTCTCTCTCTCTCTCACTCTCAGCTGGCCACACACTACACACCTGACACACACCACACACACCTGACACACACCACAGACGTGACCACACCACACACACACACCTGACACACACACCACACACCTGACTCCCCAAGGTCTCATTAAAGCTATCAGGTTGATTAACGTGTAATTGGCTAATCAATTTTCTTTCTTTTTCCTCTCTTCTCCGTTTTTCTGTCCACCATTTCCTGTTTTTTCACTTTATTATCGTTTTCTGTTAACCGTTTTTTTTTCGTTTTTATTTCCCGTTTTTTTCGTTATTCCCTGTTTTATGTAATTTTATTCTCTTTATTCCTGTTTTATTTCCCGTTTATATGATTTTCTCCTTTTTCCTGTTTTTTTATTTCCCATTTTTGTGTTTTTCTGTTTTTTTTTACCGTTTTTTTATCTACCGTTTATCATTTTTTTCTTTTATTTATCTGTTGTTCATAAGGTATTTTGAACACATGTTTTTAATGCTTATTTGTGTGTATATAATTATTATGAATTACTGTGTCTGTCTGTCTGTCTGTCACTTTCTTTTTCCTTCTGTTTTTTCTTTATCCCACTTCCTTCTGACCACCTCTTCCTTCTCCCTTCTCTTCCTTCCTTCTCCCTTCTCTTCCTCTTCGGTGTGTAAAATCCGGATAATCGCCGGCCAACAACCGCTCGAGGTCAATCCGGATAAACGCATTACACGCTTGAGAAATTTAACTGAAGTCCTTCTCTCTCTCTCTCTCTCTCTCTCTCTCTCTCTCTCTCTCTCTCTCTCGTCAGTACATTCATCTCTCTCTCTCTCTCTCTCTCTCACAACAGCTACTGACGGTGACGCCCAAATGGCTTGCATCACCAAACAGAGGACCTGACAGGTATATCCCTACGCCGCCGCCGTCAGCATGGAGAAGAGGAGGTTCTGACCAAGTAAGCCTGCCTTCACCCCCGGTAGGTGAGGAGGGAGTGGGGAGGAGAGAGGAGGAGAGGGGGAGAGAGGGAGGGAGAGAGACGTTATGCATATATAAAAGTTTAAGCCTCCCATACCCCATGCACACAGGTGAGAGGGGGGAGAAAGGAAAGGAATTGGGATGAAAGGGATGGAACAGGAGAAGCAAAGAGGGGAGAGGAGGTGGGTAGATTGAGAGGGAGGAGGGAAAGAAGGAAGGAAGGAGGGAGAATTAGTAGGAAGAAAGGAAGGAATTAAGGAAAAGATGAAGGAAGGGATGAGATCAACCATTTCAGAGATACATCCTCACTTCTCCTGTCTCTTTATCTCTCATTATCTCCTTTCTCTCGTCTCTCCTCATTATATCTTTCTATCTCTCCCATTATCACTGTCTGTCTCTCGTCTTTTTCTCTCCCCATTATCTCTCTATCTCATTATAACTTTCTCTCTCTTCATTGTCTCTCATTATCTCCCTCGCTATCGCTCCTCATTATCTCTCTCTCATTGTCTCTCATTATCTCCCTCGCTATATCTCCTCATTATCTATCTCTCTCATTGTCTCTCATTATCTCTCATTATCTCCCTCGCTATCTCTCCTCATTATCTCTCTCATTGTCTCTCATTATCTCTCCCCCACTGTCTCTCACTCACAGCTATAAGAGTCGAAGGAAGACCGAGGGTCGTCCATCACTGAACCCGGGCCATTAATTTCACCTCCAAGGGCCATTTGATATAAACTTTTCAGGGCCCTTCATCCATGGACCTAAGTGGCCATGGGGGAGTTATGTGGCCCTAGGGGTGGTAGTTTGTGGCCAGGGAGGGGTGTGTGGCCAGGGAGGGGTGTGTTGTAATGGGGAGATGTGTGGCCATGGGGAGATGTGTGGCCATGGGGAGATGTGTGGCCATGGGGAGGTGTGTGGCCATGGGGAGATGTGTGGCCATGGGGAGATGTGTGGCCATGGGGAGGTGTGTGTGGCTTTGGGGGGAAAGTGTGTGGCCAAGAGGGGAGGTTTGTAGCCCTGGGAGGAAGTGTGTGGCCCTGGGAGGAGGTGTGTGGCCCTGGGAGGAGGTGTGTGGCCCTGGGAGGAGGTTTGTGGCCATGGAAGGAGGTGTGGGGCCCTGGAAGGAGGTGTAGGGTCCTGGAAGGAGGTGTGTGGACCTTGGAGGAGGTGTGTGGCCCTGGTAGGAGGTATGTGGCCTTTTTTAGGGGCCCATTTAGATTTTAGACTCATTAAGAACTTACATATTTTTATTTTCAATCTTGGATTATTATTATTATTATTATTATTATTATTATTATTATTATTATTATTATTATTATTATTATTATTGGTGTCTTTACTGTTCCGTAGTGTTCCTTAGTGTTCCGTAGTGTTCCTTAGTGTTCCTTAATGTTCCGTAGTGTTCCTTAGTGTTCCTTAGCCATCTTGTGTGTGTTGGGTCGACCACTAATGGTAACCAATGGTATAACTTTGTCCACTATCTTTCCTTAATGGCGCTAACATTTTACTATGTCCAGTATATGCCATTAACATTATGTAGGTCAGGTGCGGCTGTCTGTGGGTTAGTGGTGCTTACTCATTATCTCACTATCTCATTATCTCACTATCTTTCATTTAATCAAGCACTCACTCTTACTTAATCACGCACTTGCTATCTCTCATTCAGTCACTATCACTCACCCACCCACCCACCTACCCACGCCTATCTCTCAATATCTCTCAATATCTCTCAATATCTCTCAATGTCTCTCACGCACAGAAGGATCACCTGAACTGCGACCCGACCTTTGAACTGGAGGAGATGATAATAGAATCCCGGCCCCTACACAAGAAGAAAAAGAGACTCTCCAAACAAAAGAGCATCAGGGATACTCACACCTCTATATCAGGCACTACGGTGAGTTATTGAGTGTTTGTGTTGAGTTACTGAGTGTTTGTGTGAGGTACTGAGTGTTTGTGTGAGGTCCTGAGTGTTTGTGTTGAGTTATTGAGTGTTTGTGAGGTCCTGAGTGTTTGTGTGAGGTATTGAGTGTTTGTGTTGAGTTACTGAGTGTTTGTGTGAGGTACTGAGTGTTTGTGTGAGGTCCTGAGTGTTTGTGTTGAGTTATTGAGTGTTTGTATGAGGTCCTGAGTGTTTGTGTGAGGTCCTTAGTGTTTGTGTTGAGTTATTGAGTGTTAGTGTTGAGTTATTATGTTTGTGTTGAGTTACTGAGTGTTTGTGTTGAGTTACTGAGTGTTTGTGTGAGGTCTGAGTGTTTGTGTTGAGTTATTGAGTGTTTGTGTGAGGTCCTGAGTGTTTGTGTTGAGTTATTGAGTGTTTGTGTGAGGTCCTGAGTGTTTGTGTTGAGTTATTGAGTGTTTGTGTGAGGTCCTGAGTGTTTGTGTTGAGTTATTGAGTGTTTGTGTGGAGTCCTGAGTGTTTGTGTGAGGTCCTGAGTGTTTGTGTTGAGTTATTGAGTGTTTGTATGAGGTCCTGAGTGTTTGTGTGAGGTCCTTAGTGTTTGTGTTGAGTTATTGAGTGTTAGTGTTGAGTTACTGAGTGTTAGTGTGGGTTAGCCAGTGGGAGGTGGCGAGTTGTCCGGTCTTCTCGGACTATTCCTCGACACTGGGTCATGGCAGCTCGTTAACTCAGGGTGTGGTTGTTGTGTTGGCGACAGCTTCTACACCTAAAACAAATTCACGCCGAGGCGGCCCCGGGGTCGGCCATCTTCGTACACAAGGGGCAACCATTATGTGTGTGTGTGTGTGTGTGTGTGTGTGTGTGTTCCTATAACAAAACACCTCCGTCGCTCACCACACTCAGGCACACACACACACACACACACACACACACACACACACACACACACACACACACACACACACACTTGGAGAGTTATGGGGCCCGTTGGGACTTTGATTAATAATAAATTTGGATCCATGATATTAGACAATTAAATAGACACATACACAAGAGACAGACAGACAGACAGACAGACAGACAGACAGACAGACAAATAACTAGACAGACAGACAGAAAATAATGGCAAAACAATGACAGTGTTTTGAAGGGTAATTAACCAATGCTAACCACCATAATTATAACTTTCTGGCCCCGTAGACCCTAATTACTGAGTTGATGACTACTGATGGTAATGGTAATTGAAATGGTAATAGAGTGGGGTGTGTTTTTGAATGTGCCTCTCACTTCCCTTTCACCCCTCTCATTCTCTCCCTGTCACTACCTCTTTCTCTCACCCTCCTCTCACCCTCTCTCACCCTCTCCTCACCCCTTCCCTCTCACCCCTCCCTCTCACCTCAAGTTGAATTATCTGTACATCAAGACGTGGTTAAGTGTTGATGTGCTGAGGTGCGTCTCTCCTTCCTCTTTCCTCACTTCCTCATTCTCTCCTTCCTTTCCTCCTTCTCTTCCTTCCTTCCTCCTTCTCTCCCTCCCCCTCTTACTTCCTTATTCCCTCCTTCCTTTCTGCGTTCTCCCCACCTTATCCTCCTTCCCTCCTTCTCCTCTTTCCTTTTTCTCCCTCTCCCCCTTCCTTCCTTACCGCCCCTCCTCCTTCATGACTCCCTCCCTTCACCTGGACACCTTCTGCCCTCCATCCCTCCCTTCCTTTCCCCTAACCTCCCCCTCTGTTCCTCCTCCACTACCCCTCCACAAGACCCCTCCACAAGACTCCTCTCCCCTCCAAAAGAACCCTCCTCTCTACCCCTCCACAAGAACCCTCCCTCCGCTACCCCTCCAAGAACCCTCCCTCCACTACCCTCCACAAGTGCCCTTCACTCCTGAACAACACTCTTGAGTCCTTCCTTACAATAGTGACGCGGCTCAACAACTAGTCAATGCTGGTGGAGGGAGGTGGTGATGGAGGGAGTGTGGTGGTGGAGGGAGTGTGGTGATGGAGAGGAGTGTGGTGATGGAGGGAGGTGGTGATGGAGGGAGTGTGGGTGATGGAGGGAGGGTGTGGTGATGGAGGGAGTGTGGTGATGGAGAGAGGTGTGGTGATGGTGGGAGTGTGGTGATGGAGGGAGTGTGGTGGTGGAGGGTGTGTGGTGATGGAGGGAGTGTGATGGAGGGAGGTGTGGTGATGGAAGAAGAAGAAGAAGAAGAGAGACAGATGGACACAACACAGTGACAGACACAGAGAGATATCATCTTTACATAACTCATTAAAGGTCTTGTGGCGGCCGTGTGTGTGTGTGTGTGTGTGTGTGTGTGTGTGTGTGTGTGAAAGAGAGGAAGGGAGAGATGGAAGAAAGGAGGGAGAGAAAAGGGAAAAGGAGAGGGAGGAATGGATGGAAGGAGGGAGAGAAGGAGGTAGAGAGGGAGGAAGAAAGGGATGGAAGGAGGGAGGGAAAGGAAGGGGAGGGAGGAAGGATTGTCACTTAGGCCACAGAGTTAAGATGGAGAGCATCTTCTCACTCACACACAGGAACGCAATTTACAAAGTTTTTCTTTATTTAAAATAGTGGTGGAGGGGTAGTGGTGCAGGGGTAGTGGTGGACGGGTAGTGGTGGGAGGGGTAGTGGTGGAGGGTGTGGTGCAGGGGTAGTGGTGGAGGGTAGTGGAGGGGTAGTGGTGGAGGTGGAGGGTAGTGGTGGGAGGGTAGTGGTGAACGGGTAGTGGTGGAGGGGTAGTGGTGGAGGGGTAGTGGTGGAGGGTAGTGGTGGAGGGTAGTGGTGGAGGGTAGTGGTGCAGGGGTAGTGGTAGAGGGTAGTGGTGGAGGGGTAGTGGTGGAGGGGTAATGGTGGAGGGGTAGTGGTGGAGGGTAGTGGTGGAGGGTAGGTGGAGGGGTGGAGTGGTGGAGGGGTAGTGGTGGAGGGTAGTGGTGGGAGGGGTAGTGGTGCAGGGTAGTGGTGGAGGGGTAGTGGTGGAGGGGTAGTGGTGGGAGGGGTAGTGGTGGGAGGGGTGGTGGAGGGTAGTGGTGGAGGGGTAGTGGTGGGGTAGTGGTGGTGGGGTGGGGGAGTGTGGTGGTGGAGGGGTAGGGGTGGTAGAGGGTAGTGGTGGAGGGTAGTGGTGGAGGGTAGTGGTAGAGGGGGTAGTGGTGGAGGGGTAGTGGTGGAGGGGTAATGGTGGAGGGTGGTGGGAGGGGTAGTGGTGGAGGGTAGTGGTGTAGGGTAGTGGTGGAGGGGTAGTGGTAGAGGGGTAGTGGTAGAGGTAGTGGTGGAGGTGGTAGGGGTGCAGGGGGTAGGGTGCAGGGGTAGGGGTGCAGGGGTAGGGGTGCAGGGGTAGGGGTACAGGTGGTAGGCAGGAGGGGGTAGGGGTGCAGGGGTAGGGTGCAGGGTAGGGGCAGGGTAGTGGTGCAGGGGTAGGGTGCAGGGGTAGTAATAAAGGAGTACTTGTGAAAGAGTAGTGTTGTATGTATTTATGTATGATCTCTGACTCTCTTATCACCCAGCCGTTCCTCACTATCTCCTAACCATCTCTCACTATCTCCTAACCATCTCTCACTATCTCCTAACCATCTCTCACTATCTCCTAACCATCTCTCACTATCTCCTAACCATCTCACTATCTCCCAACCATCTCTCACTATCTACTAACCATCTCTCACTATCTCCTAACCATCTCTCACTATCTCCTAACCATCTCTCACTATCTCCTAACCATCTCTCACTATCTCCTAACCATCTCTCACTATCTCCTAACCATCTCTCACTATCTCCTAACCATCTCTCACTATCTCCCCCTGCAGGAAGCGGAAGCCGTGGTCTACAAGGAGATGCTGGTGTTTAACAGGGAACTGGAACAGGCGAGGAGAGAGAGGGAGAGACGAGAGCAGGAGTGGCAGGCGGAGCTGGAGGAGTCTATGAAGATGTCAGACCCTACAGGACACGGTGAGGGGTGAGGGAGGGGGTGAGGGAGGGGTGAGGGAGGGGTGGGGGAGGGGAGGGTGGGGAGTGTGAGGAAGAGGATGGGAGCAAAAGTGGTTGGGTGGATGAGGGAATTTTTGGGGTGAGTGATGGGGAGAGGAGAACTGGGGAGAGAGTAGATGGGTGAGTGAGGGAGAGAGGAAGAGGGCAGGAATTCATAATGAGAGAGAGAAAGAGTGAGAGAGACAGAGGTACTTAACATATAATTACCCTTAATGACACCTAATGACCCCTGATGACCCTTCTTAATTGACCTGAAATTCCAAAAGCCACTTGTCCTCTTGAGTGATCTAAGATGACGTCATTTTAGATCTAATTCCATGATGATCTTGACCTTTCAATTTGACCTTAAATAACATGGGATATCCTGAAGATTAGACACCCTAGATTAGTTCACCTGAAGATTAACCCCCCTGTTAGTTCACCTGAAAAATAACTATAACCTACTGCTACCTGAGGGGTTAGGTTAGGTTAGATTTGGGTAGATTAGGGTAGTAGGGTAGGTCACATTCCGGTAGGGTTGAGTAAGATAAAGTTAAGTTAGGTTAGGTTCGGTTAGGTTAGGCAATTAGGGTAAGTTAGGTTAGGTTATGTATATGGTTATGTAAGGCAAGGTTAGGTTTGGTTAGGGTGTCTAATCTTCAGGTGGTCTGGAAACACACACACACACACACACACACACACCCACACACACACACACCCATCCAAACATCTAATCGTCCTACCCACTCACACAGGTTGCAACTTCGCCGGCTCCAACACCAGCACCCCCATCAAGCGCCGCACCAAGTCGTGTAAGGGCGGGGTAGAGAAGCGACACAGGGACGACCGCCACAAGCAGGAGGGACGAGCAGCCTCTACACCCTCCACGTCCTCGTCTGTATCCTCCCTCCTCGTCTCCCCAACGGACAGGACGACGCTACCCAAGATTGCTGTGTCGCCCTCAAACGTGAAGGCGAGGATTGCTGGCTCCCCTAAGGTATGTGAGAGAGAGAGAGAGAGAGAGAGAGAGAGAGAGAGAGGGGGGGGGGAATGTGTGTGTGTGTGTGAGAGAGAGAGAGAGAAAGCACTGACAGTCCCCGGGTGGCCCCACAAACACTAGGACAGTTACCCCTCAAAAGTCGTCCCTCAGATGGCAGTTTTCTATGATGATGATTGTCTTGTTTTCCTCACCAGGTCAAGGTACGAGGCACGACAGTCACCATTGAGTCTCCTCGCTCCTCCTCCAGTCTCACCAAGAGCAGCACACAGCAGCTCAAGGTACCTAAGTCACCAGGATATAAACTTAAGTCACCAGGATATATATTTGAGTCACCGGGATATATATTTGAGTCACCAAGTCTATATTATTATTATTATTATTATTATTATTATTATTATTACTATTACTACTACTACTATTACTACTACTACTACTACTACTACTACTACTACTACTCACCCCCTTACAGGAGCGTCTGAAGGAGCTAAAAGCAGACCAACACCGCCACGGAGACTCGGGGTCAGATACTGAGTGTTCTGACGTCACCCAAAGCGATGACCTCACACTCACCGGTCGTAGGTCACTCTCCAAGTCCCCCGGCAGGTCTACAGAGAGGTCAGCTAGCAAGTCTCCAGAGAGGTCAGAGAGGAGGTCAGCCAGCAAGTCTCTAGAGAGGTCGCCTAGTAAATCTCCTGAGAGGTCAGAGAAGAGGTTAAGTAATAAATCTCCCGAGAGGTTACAGAGATCAAGTAGAAAGTCTTCCGAGAAGTCACAGAGGTCAAGTAGAAAATCTTCTGAGAGGTCACAGAGGTCAAGTAGTAAGTCTCCCGGGAGGTCAGAGAGGAAATCATCATGTGGGTCGTTCAGCAGGTCTCAGGGTAGGTGGTCCAGGACCTCCAGTGGCTGGTCATTGAAGAAGGAGGTACAGAATACCTCCCTCATGTCTCAGGACGAGGGAAGTGCTGAGGCCGAGGTCTTTTTCTCTTCCTCCTCCTCCTCCCTACAGTACCAACCCCCTCCACCTCCTCCCTCTAGCTCCTCTTACTCCTCCATCAGTCAGGACAGGAGAGGAGAGCCAACAGTTGTCAGGCCGGTGTCACTCCCCGCGGCGGTCCATCACGATTTCCAGCAGTTCTCCAACAAGAGGGTCTCGGCGCCTCCCTCCACCACCAGCAGGAGCACCATTCAGGAGTCCGTCAGGTCCACACAACACCAAAATATCTCAAAATCCAAAGAAAAAATTACAGAAAAACGTAGATCCTTGATAGACCAAAGACTCTCAAAATCCAAGGAAGACTCGGCACAGAGTCTTCCAAAGCCTCACGAATCACAAGTCGGTGGAGACGACCTGCAGAAGGCTGTGTTGACGAATGGGTGTCTCGCCTCGATTCGGAGTTCAAGGAAGTCCTCGGAAGTCCTGGACCCCAAGTTGGAGGGTCGAGTCTCTGAGCGTAAGACCACAGCGGCGGAGCAGAGGAGGAGACACTCAATGGAGCCTCGTAAAAGGTCGACTGAACGAAGCAAAAGATTATCAGAAGGTCACAGAAGCTCCTCAGTGTCGAGTAAGACGGACATACACGGCCAGAACAACTCCTTCGACCTTCCAGAGAAACCTTTTAAACCTGTAGACGTCTGCAAAAAATCCTCGGTAACAAAGAAGAGAAATTCGAGTGTGTCCAGAAACTCGTTTGAGATGGAGAAGACGACCGAAGCTGGTAGTGAATCGCCAGACATTAGGAAAAAGTCGTCGTTAGTAAGCAGCAAGAGACTCTCACAGGACTCAAGAAGCTCAGTCGAGGTGGAGAAGACGACCGAAGCTGGTAGGGAATCGCCAGACATTAGGAAAAAGTCGTCGTTAGTAAGCAGCAAGAGACTCTCACAAGACTCAAGAAACTCAGTCGAGGTGGAGAAGACGACCGAAGCTGGTAGGGAATCGCCAGACATTAGGAAAAAGTCGTCGTTAGTAAGCAGCAAGAGACTCTCACAAGACTCAAGAAACTCAGTCGAGGTCGCAGAGAAGGAGACAGCAGGCACCAACACTCACTCTCCCGGCGCTGGGAAGATGGCGTCCCTCAGCAGAAAGAGAGACTCGGGGCCCTACAAGACTACGTTCAGTATTCAAGTGAACACATCGGAAACTAGTAATAAGTACTCACCTCCCGTAGGTACTGAGGCGTCTGGTAGCTGTCAACACTCATCAGAAATCGAAAGGAACTCACTCAAAGACCCTAAGACCCCACAAGAAACTCCAGTCAAACCTTCACCTGAAAATCTCAAGTCATCACCAGGCGACGGTAAACAGGGCTGCTCAGTAACCAACACGATATCCTGCGAGAGTATTGACGACACCTCTGACATTCACCAGAACTTATCCGAAATACACAAGAGCGAAACCCGGAAGAGTTCAACCGGATCTCATGAGTCTGGGAACAATGCGAGTGACGAAGGGATTGAGATGACGTGCTGAGGGGGGCCACGCACACACACGTCTGTTGGTGAGAGAGGAACACCTTCGTCACCCACCCAGTGTAACTCACCTCTTGATGTTTTGGTCTACACACTAGTTACAAGTAAACACATTTGACTGTCTTTATAGTGAGAAAAAAAAAATATTCAGCTAAAATTTGTAGAAGTTTGTATTGCTGTTATTACTTTTGATATACTGTAGTGTCCTTAGGTGTTACCTGATATTACACACACACACACACACACACACAGACTCAAACACACAGACTCAAACACACACTCACACACACACACTCAAACACACACACACACCTTTATATATATATATATATATATATATATATATATATATATATATATATATATATATATATATATATATATATATATATATATATATAAAGATATAAAACATTGGAACAATAACCAAAGAATTAACCAAATGAGAAGAATAAGTGATAAACATAGAGTAAAGGAACACGGAATGATGTTGTCATACACACTACAATGAAACAATAAAACAGTAAAAGTAAACAAAGGATAAAAGAGGTTTATTGAAGAAGAAGAAGAAGAAGAAGAAGAAGAAGAAGAAGAAGAAGAAATGTAAAACAAAAATCAATTACATTATCTCTTCTTTTTTTCTCACCTAAAGAATATATCAAAACTCGTGGTATAATTTGTTAACAGTAAACACTACACTTAGAGACAAACATTTAAACACTAAGAAGAACAAAAATAATATAATACCTTCCCTTAAGATAAAAATAATTACTGTACAGGTGTGATCAATATTCCCTGGACACCTTGATGTAAATACCAGGTATCATTTGCTTAAGGACTATGTAGGTAAATGGGGGGTGGGAGGGAAGGGGTCTAATTATTCCTAGTAGTGTTTTATTTGTTCTTTATTTAAATGTCAACAATACGTAAATTATCCAGGGAATTATGATCGATTCTGTATTTGATATGTTTCCTCATTACGAATTAAAAAAATATATATATATGGAAAATGTATATAATAGTTTAATGAGAGGTGTGTGTGTGTGTGTGTGTGTGTGTGTGTGTGTGTGTGTGTGTGTGTGTGTGTGTGTCATAGATATACTATACCTTGTGTCTGTACCGTCTAACACTCACAACAACAGCACAGCAAGGAGAGAGAGAGAGAGAGAGAGAGGAGTTACTGTTGCTGTTGTTATCATAAAAAGTCAGTCTTTCTTCACCTTACCTCTTGTGTTTGTTGTTGACGGTAATGGTTGAACGTTTCAAGCCTCAACGTTTAAGCTAAGAACGTTTAATAGGCTAAGAACTCTTAATTATCAAGGAACGTTTAATAATCTAAGAACGTTTTGGCCTCATAACCTAAGAACATTTCAGCCTCAACGTTTAAGCTAAGAACGTTTCGGCCCCACGTTTAATTCCCAGTTTAAATTCAGCCTCCTGACGCACTGGACCCGGGGACTGTTTTGATCCGGACGTGTAACCCAGAAGCGTCCTGCCTCTGGCGTGTCTTAATCAAACATCAAAAAGCTCCATGTTGTTTCATCTCTCACGTCGTCAAGGTTAAAAGCAGCCAGGGGAGACGCACACACACATACTACTACTTTGCTGTCACTCAGGATCTAGTATGACGATCATCACAATTATATGAGTTATTAAGGATGCCATCTTCATTGGTGAGCTCTGAGGTGACTCAAGAGGCCGATACGGGACCGGCAGGGTCGTCCACAGATGTTGTTCGTGTAGAGGGCTACATCTAGTGCGGGAGGGGCGGCGGTACCGTCCCTCTCAGGTTGTGTGCAGCACACTTGCTGAGGAGGAGTAAGCAAGAAACCGTCGGGGGCAAGAAACATCTGAGGGACGTAAAATTTGGCGGTATGCGGAAAGGTTTTGGTTACAGTAGGTGAGAGTTATGACCACGCTCCACCACCACGCTCATACCATTATGCTCTGCCACTATGTGATATATTATACTCGTGTACCTTGTGTCTGTGGTATAATTTCTTTTCACCATTTTTCTCTCATATTCTCCAGTTGGTGTCAAAAGTTATGTACAGGAACTACGGTGAGTCGGTGTTTACTCTGACTCGATCTGTAGACGTGATGGAGCTGTTTGTTTACTTAGTCTTACCGCCATCTAGGAGTGTGTGGCCCAACTATTGCACACTCAGCGCCATCTATGAGTGTGGAGAAAAATTTTGCTCAGGTAGTCAATAATTAGGGTGTGGCGGCAAAGTGAATACAGCATTTGTGTAATGGAGGCTTAGTATTCAGTGTACTGTATCCACACTGCCCCTAATAAGTCGCCAGGCCTATGAGACTCATTTTCAATGTTTAGTCAGTAAGAGTAACATTATAATGGGTTCCTGAGGTAACTTTTGGCCGCGGGAGAGCCATGTGTAGTACAGTAGTGTAGGCGAGTGAGTGTCAGTCAGTGTCTCACTCAGGGGCTTATACCTCACCAAATATATGTATTAAATCTCAAAATAATTTTATATAAATATATGATAAATAAATATTAAATCCTTTAGATATATGTGTTTGATATATTATCCTATAGTAAATATTGTGTTGTGTGTAAGTTGAGGTTGTGAAGAAATGTCTGGATATTTTTACTTGTTGTCTTGTGTACTTAACTCTCACCCCCCGAGTGTACCCCAAGAGTCCTTCATCAGGCATCAACAGATTCTCCTGCACCAAGCCGCTGTTTACTTTCTTCATCTACTACAAGAGGATCAGGACAGTCCTCTTCACGGTCGTCTTCAACAACCTTGGCATGAGTTAGGAAGACTTTGGTGAGCTTAACCAGAACGAGTAAGTCGTCTAATTGGCTGTGTGGTCACTATAAGTTCACACCAAACGAGTCGAGTCAAGAAAACGGGAGATCCATGTTTGTGTCAGTTGTGGTGGAAGGAAGCCTGGTCATGCAGCTGGAGGATATGGTAACTCTTGTTTGGGGGCGTCCTGCTCTCTGTGGTCCCAGTGGTCAGAGAAAGATCGTCAAGTGATCTCTGGACTGTGACAAAAGGTTGCTGATTAATTGAATTCTACAGGTAAGATTATATGTTTGAAATAATAGCCTAGGATATTATTAGTAAATAAAAGCCAAATAATTCACGTGTTTACTCATCCTTTACTAACCATACATTTACATACACAAAATAAAACAAAATTAGTGGTAGATCCTGAACTAATAACGCTGCCGAGTCCACAAGAGAACAGTAATATAGCGAGACAATGTGTCCAAACCTCTTGACCTGTGACAGGATAATGACAAGCATCACTCACATCAACGTCTCCATTTCACAAGTCATATCGTGTCCTGCGAGACAAGTACCAGTTTATTAGTATCTGACCCCATGGTCTTGTGACTAGGCTTGTTGCCCCCTTGGGTGTAATAAATTAATGAAATAATAAATGATAATGACAAACATGACACTTCTTGACTTGGTGTGTGAACTGAATGAGTCAATTTGATTCTAGTCAAATGAGACCTAATGACTCGACTCTATTCGACTCGTTTGGTGTGAACGCAGCCACGTGTGTTTACATTACCAAAACCTAACCTAATCTAACCCAAAACCTAACCTAATCTAACCCTAAACCTAACCTTACCTTACCCCTAACGTTAACCTTACCTTAACGCTAACGTAGCCCCCAGGTGATGTAAGGGGGTTTCATCAGTAGGAGAAATAACCTGGGGGACAAACCTTCAGTTGATATAGAATGTGTCTCCCTGTGATAAAGCTGTACAGAGACAATGTAAACTCAGCGCGCTCTCTTGTTCCCCTGTTAGGAGGGAGGGAGGGAGGGGGGGAGGGGGGAGGGAAGGAGGGAGGGAGGGACACACTTTAACCCCCCCCCCCCCACTGAGACACTCACCTGGCAGCGCCGACATTGATGGCAAACACCCTCCTCACTCCTCACCATCTCTAATGATTATTGTGGCGCTGTTGGGACTCTTATGGTGCTGTGGCTGACAATAGTGGTGCAGGAAAGTTCAGTGTCCACCTGTGTAAAGTTTAGTGCCAATATCTCGTGTTCATGATTAGTTACGAGTGATTGTTTTAAAAGTTCTATCTGACTGACCACGGCTGGAGCTATCTAGATATGACATTCTAGTCCGGACACTGATGGATCTTATGGATGCAGTGCTTTAAGGTCAAAATGGTTCCCTTCTACCTTTGTTGACATTTCTGGCCAGGTGTGTCCTTACCCCGCGCACCACTAACTGCTCGATCATTGTGAACTGCTTCGTTACCTTCCTACTCATAGACCAGACCGTAGTGTGTGTTTGGGGAGTGGATACAGGTTTAGTATATCAGAAAATTGTCAGGACAAACTTTTTCTGAGTGAGAGTTGTGAACTGATGGAACAATCTGCCAGAGAGTGTTGTGATGACACCGAGTGTGAGCTGTTTCAAGACCAGACTTGACCAACACTGGAGCAGGTTCAGGTACATTCAGGAGCCAGTACATGCCCAGTACTTGCCAACAGTGTGTAACAGAGACGTGATCGACCGCCCAAGCAGCAACGCGCCGATCAGTGGTGAAGAGGATAAAAGTAAAAGTAAGTAACCTTTGCTTGGGCCTGTCCCTAAAAAGTACTATTTTCTCACAGTCTAAGACGTGGTGTTGGAGTGTGTGGCCACTTCTCTGGCTGCACACTTTACATTTAGTTTTGTTCACATCTTCCTGAGAGACATACTGCCTGAGGAGCATACAGTGGCCTCCAGGTGTGATATTACGCCCTACCGTGCCAACCTTGCTCATGTGGCACCGTGGTACTACTCGTGTGGCTAGTATAGGGAACTCGGCGATAGAGCTGTTTCCTCGTGTTTGTTTTGCCAGTATTTGTTCACATTTATATATATGTATTGATATTCAAAAGCATAATCTTCAACGAAAGTAATAAAAATTTTGGTTTCTGTAATACGATATATGATGTTACCTTAAAAAACAGAGAAACCTTTGATGCAAGACAACGAAAGGAAAGGAGGCGGAGGGCTGGGAGAAGTAAGGGAGGGGTGAAGGCAGGGGAAGGATACCGTATTTTCCAGTGATTGTTATTATTTGTTGTAAAAGTGTTATTATGATTTGATTTCATATTCGTCTTATAACTCGTGTTAGTTATCTAATATCTTGTAGATTTAATTACATTTATCCGTTTTATATATTAAGCATTCTGGGTTGTATAGTTAATATTTGAATATATTAAATTATTTAGATGGTCTGTGATGTTATTTTCAGTCT